GGATAACTATATCACATGGCGATGGCTGTTTACCACGCTATTTCCAACACTCCTCTCCCACACCCCTTTGCATTATAGTTCACGCTTATTCTCGCTCTCGCCGCTGCTAGTAGCAATCTCAACCTTCTCGGAGTCAATGGCATGGTTGTCGGTGGTAACCAAACCAAGGTCGATCTGCATCTGGCTGATTTGCTCAACGCTGAGCTTAGGCAGCTCCTGGGCGATTTGGAATGGCCACTTCTTCTCAACGTGAGCCTTGGCGAAGATAACGTCAATCTCTTCCAAATCACGGCCGGCGGTCTCAACGTAGAAGAAGTAGGCGAAGGGAATGGCGGTGAAGTTGACTAGGGCGAAGAATAGGTAGAGACCCCAGGAACTCTGGTTAGAGAAAACGGGGGTGAACATAACAACAGCGAAGTTGTTAATCCAGTTGGTGCAAGTGGAGGCGGAAGCAGCCATAGTACGAGTGCGAAGAGGGTTGATCTCGGGAGGGTAGATCCAAGGTAGAGGTAGTGTAGTGAAGGCGAAGAAGCAGATGAAGAGGAAGATACCGACGGCGGCACCCTTGGCGTTTTGGCTTGTGCTGTCGATTAGGCAACCCATAGTGATTATAAAACTAAGACCCTGGCCGAGGAAACCGATAAAGAACAAGTTACGACGACCGACTTTCTCAATCATAAAGAAGGAGGGGATAGTAGCGAGAGCGTAGACAGTGGAGAAAACACCGCCAATGATCATAGCCATCTTATGATCCATTTGAAGGTTATTCTCGAAAAGGAGGGTAGAGTAGTAGATAGCTGCGTTGCAACCAGTGAATTGCTGGAAGAACTGACCGGAGCAACCTATCATCATACGCTGGAACTCTTGGGTTTTCCCGAAGGTGAAGAGAGTCTTCCAGCTGTTAGCCTGCTGGGACTCAACAGCCTTCATATCGGCCTTAATTAGGTTAAAATCGCGAAGGACGTCCTCGGCGTCCTCGTGGCTGTCATTAAGCTGAGCCATGACTTGGAGAGCCTCCTTATCTTTGCCCCGCATAATAAACCAACGAGGAGACTCCGGTAGCATAAGAGCACCGATGATAACGCCGATAGCGAATAGGATCTGGAAGGCGACGGGGAATCGCCACTGGACAGAGGAATTGGTGTAGGAAAAGCCGAAATCGATCCAGTAGGCAATAAAGGTACCGACAGCAATGATGGCACCCTCGAAGCAGACGAGGAAACCACGGTTGTGGGCCCTAGAACACTCTGACTGCCAGACAGGGATGGTGGCTGTATCCATACCGTTTCCAAGACCGGAGATTACCCGCCCGATCACAAATTGACCTAGACCCCAGGAATCGCCGTAGGAAGCTGTAGAGAGGACGGTACCGATCACCATGAGAGTGCCACCAGTGACCAGCAAAGGGGTACGGCCAGTGCGCTGGCCGAAGCAGAGAGTGAAGATAGCGCCGAAGAAACAGCCCAGTTCGTAGCAGGAGTTGACGGCACCTTGTAGGACGGAGACATGCTCCGCACTGTTGCCAGGACGGTTTTTGTCCAGGACGGGGAACTCGCCGATGAAAGATGTACCTTGCAGAATACCGGACATCAGACCCTGATCGTAACCGAACAGGGAGAAACCGACGACGGAGGTGATGGTAATGGCCCAGTGGAGCTTCTTGCCCCGGAGGCCGGAGTTGGTTGTCCACATATTGAGATGCTGCTTGCCTCTACCTAACTAAATGAGGGAGGATAAGGAGGTACTGAAACGACGAAGAAAGAACAGGAACAGACTCTGGGGGTGGGTGACGCTTATGTATCTTTTTTTGAGATGTATGCGTCTACATGTGTCTGTGGGCATCAGGGGCCCCGGGGTCCACTGGTCTCCATCGGTTGGTCCCGCCATGGAGGGAGTTTAAAGATGACGGCGGCGGCTTGAGTATCGTAGGCAAGTGTCGCGACCCGACTCGGGGGCTGAGAGCTTTCCAAGCCTGTGAGTGGACGAGCGGTAGAGGGGAGGGGCAAGTCTCGCGGGTTTGCCAAGAAGGCCAAGCGCCCCATTCATGTGAATGGAGTCATGGCAGCGGCTTAAGACTTTTCGGTTCTGCCCTCCGAGGATTGGCCCGTTGCCAAGGGCAAAGAAGCTCCCGCCAAGGGGAACCACCCGTTCACAGATGGTAGAGTTAAAGTTGGAAGATTCGGGAGATTCGAGATAGATGGGGTAAAGTGAGGTTTATTTTTTTGGTATGTACAAGTATGTACATGAGATCAAAGAAATCGTTCTAATTGGAATTAATCGAACTAACGATGACAACTTACATGGATTAATTACATGGATTAAATTAGTCCAATAGAAATACTAAATTACTGCCTGGGATTACTGTGTCATTCTAGGCTAATATTGCCTGGAGGTAGGTAGATCACTTCTTCGGCTGCCACAAGAGGAATCTCGCCCGACCCTCCACGGCCTCCACGGCCTCCATGGGGGAAAACGGGGGAGAGGGGGTGGAAATGGGGAAGAGGTCGGACCAAGGGTCTTTCCTTTGTCCTAGGTGAGCCACTGAGCGTGCCCTATCCCCCATACGGAGTAGTAAGACCGTGAATGAATCGACCATTGGGGCCATCGAATCATGAATGTCACTCATGAGACTCGCCTTAGTTGCCCCCTTCAACCCCCATCTTAGCCTCGGCCCTGTTTGACGCTGTCTCCGATGCCGACGGCCGGAATGGTTACACTTCCACACACTATGGCCCACATCGGATTTTCGAAAGCCAATCGCACTTCCCGGGGCACTCCCCGCGGGGACACGGCGGCCCCCTCTTAGCGGCCCCCCTCTCAGCCCTCGCCGGGATGGGCTCCACGCTAACACTACATTGCCGATCACAATGGTGTTTTCGACTCAATGGACGCCTTGACCCAGAATAGGTAGGTCCCGACTCGCATGGAAGCCAAAGAATTCCCCAGGAAACGTGTCAGGCGAAACCAAAAGACCAAAACTTCAATTTCCATTTTCATCCCATGGAACCAGGGACCGAGCGCAGCCCTAAGGCTGGTCTGATCCATGATGTTTTATTCTTGCGGGAAACCAAAATCCGACGTATAACGGAGAAACTCGAATGGAAATAGAAGACCGGAAATTACCAAACCGGAACTAGCCCGAAATGGACGGTTAAATACTTTTCGATATGAATCAGAATTATTTGGACTAGGGGGGTTTTGACTACGTAAATGCTACATAGCCCGGCTTTTCCTCTTTCTTTTATTGTTTATTGTTTATTGTTTATTGCTTTTTTTTCTTTTTTTTTTTTTTTTTTTTTTTTTTGCTTTTTGCTATTTGCCGTTTCCTCTCCTCGACAATTCCGTTCTCAACTAGTATGATTTCCATTCTCATTTGATTCCAACTGCGTATCCGTAAATCTTATAGTAACATGCACGGCCTATTTATCCTTATCCGGTGAAGCGATGGAGGTGTGTATGGGGTAGAAGGTGCGTGCAGAGACCAGGGTAACCCATGCAAGACCAATTAGATCACCAGGAGACCAACAGATTTCTGACAGGGGGCGTTGCTGAATGCACATGAGTTTCGGAACCAAATGGAATGTAAGGGATGAGGTACTCACCTGCTTTTGTATGTCATTTGAACCGTTGAATGCCCATAGATTCTTCTATAATGCTTTGAGCGAGCTACTGGAATGGATAGATGATTTTACTCTTAGAGGCTATTCCAAAACCGTCAAGCAATTCAAGCCACGGCTCAGCCAATAGGTCTTTGTAAACTCCACAGAGGGGGCCAGTCAGGACAGAAATCCATCCATCCACTTTAGACCGTCTCTTCCCGATATTTCCCTGAGATCCCAGTTGATTGCGCACCTCGCAACGTATTCATCAGTCAGTCCATTAGTCCAAGAACTCCAGCACCAAAACCACATTGATCCTAGTATCTCCACCTCATAATTTGATTGAGAGTCCGTAACCCTTGGCGGCCGGGGGAAGGGTATCATTGTATAATAACCTTGGAATGTAGTTTTTATTAGATAACTCGATCTGCCCCGAGGGCATCCACCCAAAACCGCCGTGCTCACCTCTAGCGTGAAGCGACGTCATTCTCGATGCTTGTGCCCCAGCCATCCGTTCGCTTATTTCGTCTTTCTCAAATGAATTGCTCGGCGGGGAATGCTTGTGCTCCATGCAGCTCCATGCCGTCAACCCCCGCTGTGGCGTCTGGGGGCCAAATTTACTACTGGCACGACAGACCAATATTAAATAATATACTCCGTACCGGAGGCTAAAACAACTAAAGGAGATCGTCACTACCTCCGTAGCACAACGACACCTAGGTAATTCATCTGATGGTGATCATTTGTTATACCGTGAAATGGAGCTGGAAAATCTCCTTGAAGTATAGAAGTAGTAAATAGTAGCTGAACACTTGCCGGTGAAGAAATTAGAAGACGCAGGAAATTGGAGGTTATTATAGAGCTCTCTACTATTATCAAGATCTCTTTTATAGACTTTATAGACTTCAGAACTTGACTTCCTGATCAAGACACTACCCCCTACGCTAATCCCTAATCTCTAGCCACCCTGAATTCCCTGGTGTCAGTAGTAGGAATAGTAGTGATAATACGCGTGGTTCTCCAACATTCTGTTGATCGACGTGTTGCACTAAATATGAGGCCCATGTCAAGCGCCCCCGGTGAATTCACTAGGCGAGTCAGGCGAGTGAACAAAATTAATAAATAACAAATTATTATGCCAGAACGTCGCAGGGATCGCGCGTCACTCGCGCACGTCAGACCTCACGGCCGCCTCCAATTCGTTCGGAGAATGAAAGAGGTACATTAGTATCAGTCAAGAGGTTTAACAAGGTACACCAGGGGCCGAGGCACTAGTCCGTATGTCTATTTACTCATCAGTGCTCACAGAGATGAAATAGCCCTCGCAGTCTCAACCTAATACTCACGGACATACATACATTCAGCCATCATATCTGGCGGAAGACCGGAAGCTGCCAGAGAATGCACGACAACCAGGCGACGGATGGAGTGCTGCCCATTCAGTCAAAGGAAACAAGCCTGGGACCATCCCCGATCAAGTTTTGCTGTTGGATGGAATGTACCTTTGACTTTAGTGCCTTCGGTTTGACGCCGAAGGATGTTTCCCCTGCACTCCTCATACTCTGTGCGGCCGCGTCTTATGGAGACCTCCGAAACTACACTGGGTGTGGTATCATTGGGATTGATGCAAACACCCAGCTTACCCCCGTCTGCAAAACGGACAACCTCGCGGACTGCCTCGTACCCATGGAACCCGATTTCGACCTTGGATCATCAATATCTCAAAATTTACATACTTTGGAGGATGATCTGCACGAAGAAGCCCAGCGGCATCATCAACACCAGAATGTCATGAATGGAGCCGCCATTCGTCACATCGTTATAATCGAGGAGAACAACGGTGGGAAATCCCCGAAATGGATGCAACAGCTCAAATCTGCTGGACAGACAGATGAGCTCATCCCCGCAACCGTTCTGCATTGTATCCTGGAACAAGGCCTTTTGTCAGTTCGAGTATGCATCGGCCACTCAGGCGCAGATGGGGCTCGCCGAACGCAAAGCGTTGTCGAGAACTTCTTGCACCTCCTCATTGAATCGCTCAGTCACCCACGATTGCGACTACTGGATGTAGTAGGAGGCTGCCTGCCCACCTCGCCTACGGCTTCCATTCCGGATGTTCCACCATTCTGGGAGGTCTGCGTGCAAAATGTAATCCAAGACCAATGTCAGAAATCTCCAGACTCTCTGGCAGTTGACGCATGGGACGGCTCCCTCACATATCGAGAGCTGGACGAACTTACCGACCGGCTGGCACGTGCACTGATGCTCTTGGGGATAGGACCGGAGCGCTTCGTTCCCATTTGCATGGAAAAGTCCCAATGGACAACGGTGGCCATCCTCGCCGTTATCAAAAGTGGGGGCGCATTTAGTCTACTAGACCCAGCCCATCCTTTGCCCCGCCTACAGCAGATCTGCGACGATCTTGGCAGTCCGTTTATACTGTCGTCGGAAGCGCAGGCAGCGCGATGTCTGAAGCTGGGAGATGTTCTGGTTATAGAGAATTTGGATCAAGCATGCCGATCAAGCCGTGTCCTCCACGAGATGCCCCTAGCCCAACCAGGCAATGCGCTCTATGTCGCTTTTACCTCGGGCTCCACGGGGAAGCCGAAAGGAGTCATAATTGAACACCAGGCTTACTGCTCAGGCGCTCAGTCCCATACCCAGGCCTTCCAGATCAACGACAGGTCTCGCCTCCTGCAGTTCGCCGCCTACGCGTTTGATGTCAGCATCCTAGAGACGTTAAGCACGCTGATGGCTGGAGCATGTCTCTGCGTACCAAGTGAGGCTCAACGAAATGATGTGGTGTTGTTCGAAGATGCCCTGAAGGCCTTCCGTCTCACCCACGTAGGTCTCCCTCCCTCCTTTGCTCGAATAGTCCCCTGGGCGAATATGGAAGAGCGACCCACGTTGTTACTAGGCGGCGAGCCGATGCGCAAGTCTGACAGAACCATTTATAGCGCGCTCGGGATGCGCTTGATGAATGCATATGGGCCTACTGAATGCTCTGTCAATGCGACGATCCATCATCGCGTTCGGCCCAGGCATCCGGTGCAGAACATCGGCAAGCCTACCGGGGCGGTTGCGTGGATCGTCGACCCTGACGACATGGAGAAGCCGATGGAATGGGACGAGGTTGGCGAGCTACTCCTTGAAGGCCCCATCGTGGGCCGGGGATATTTGAACAACAGTGATGCTACACGCACGGCCTTTATTGACCCTCCGGAATGGCTTCGACGGCAGCGAAAGGGGCAGTATCAGCATCGGGTTTACCGGACGGGGGATCTAGCGTCTCAGGATCAGACAGGAGCTATTCACATCGTCGGTCGCAATGACGGACAGTTCAAGATTCGAGGACAACGTGTCGAGGTCGCCGATGTCGAACACCACGTCAACGACTTTGTGGACACCAGTACTGAAGTTGTCGTGGAGAAGGTCAACACGTCCGACGACTACCAGAGGCTAGTCGCATTTATGGTCCTTGATGGGCCGTTACCTGCCCAGACGACTAGCTCGCTCTTTCTAGCACCGGATGCCACTCACCTGGAGAGCTTCAAAGCCATCCAGGAGCAGCTGCGTAACCGTCTTCCCCGGTACATGGTTCCCGATCTGTGGATTCCCTTAGCCCGTCTACCCAAGGCAGCATCTGGAAAAATCGACCGACGTTTATTGAGAGACACCACAGCGGCAATATCGCAAAGAGATCTTTACGCCTTTGCGTGCTCCACGAGAGAGAAACGGTCTCCTACCACTTCCAGTGAACGGACACTACAGCAAGTGTATGCTGATATCCTCCAAATCCAGCCCACCGCCATTGGCATGGACGATACCTTTTTGCGCCTTGGTGGCGATTCCGTCCAAGCTATTCGTCTGGTCGGGGCTGCAAGAAAGGCGGGACTGACCGTTCAGATGCAGGAGGTCCTCGCTGAGGTCAGTATCGCCGACCAGGCGGACAAGGCCATGACGATTGCGTCTTCGCCCGAAGCTATCTATGAGCCGTTTAGTCTGGTGGAGGCCTCTGTGCAGGCTGATGTTCTTAGGCTGGCCCAGGAACAATGCAGTGTGCAACTGTCCCAGATTGAAGACATCTATCCGTGCACGCCGCTGCAAGAGAGCATGTTCGCATCCTCGTTGCAGCACCCTGGCATGTACACCGGAAACATTGTCTTTCGAATCCCTCTCGGCGTGGATACCTCCAGGTTAAAACACGCGTGGAAGGACACGGCTTACAACAATCCTATCCTGCGCACGCGGATTATCCAAACCCCGCATGGGTTTTTTCAAGTCGTTGTCGACACCTTTGCTTGGCGAGAACATACCGGCCCCAATCTGAAAGCTCCGGGATTCACGGAGCTGGTCGGGCAACCATTGGTTCAATACCTTCTTAAAGAGAAGGATCGTGAGCTGATATTGACGAGTCACCACGCTGTGTCGGATGACTGGATGCTACGTCTCATTCGACAACAGGTGGAAGCCGCGTATCAAGGTCACTTGCTGAAGAAGCAGCATTTCCACCCCTTCATTCAATACACCCGGGGCCTTCAGGGCGTGGAGGAGTTCTGGGCCACCCAGCTGTCTGAACTGGATGCCACGGTATTTCCTGAGCTTCCAGCCAGCAATTACCGGCCTTCGGCCACGCAGTCCCTCCAACATCAGATCGAGGGGCTTTGTGTAGACAAGCAAACGCCTCATACCCTCCCTACTTACATCTACCTTGCGTGGGCATTGCTTATTGCTCACTATACCGATTCCGCCGATGTGGTGTACGGCGCAACCCTGAGTGGACGCAATGCCTCAGTCCCAGCCATTGAGGCCATGGTCGGACCAACAATCACGACCCTTCCATTGCGCATTCGATTACAGTCTGCAACCTCGGTAGTGACCGCGTTGGACCAGGTACAAAATACCCTAGCCTCTATGATTCCGTACGAACAGGCTGGGTTGCCACGCATCGCCAGGAGTTGCCAGGATGGCACGAGAGCCTGCCAGTTCCAAAGCCAACTCATAATCCAGTCCCCAGAGGAAACAGAGGATACAAATATTTTTGAACCTGTCCAAGGGTCCACCCATACCGGGCTAGATTATACAGCCTTCTGTGAGTTCGCGATGATGCTGTCGGTCTTACCTAGCCAAAACCGGACCAGGATGACTGTTGATACTGCGTTCGATCCCCATGTCCTCTCTCCAAATGCAATGCGCCGGATGCTATGTCAGTTTACCCACATTCTGCGTCAGATCATGCTGCAGCCTGCGCAGCAGATACAAGCAGTGGATATGGCATCCCCGGATGACTTGGTTCAGCTCCAACAGTGGAATTCTCAGATACCGCCGGCGGATTCCTCATCCTTGAATGACCTGGTTCTAACTCGGTGTCTCGATCAACCACTGGCTACGGCTGTGTGTGCGTGGGATGGGTCATTGACGTATTCAGATCTAGACGGCTTGTCCTCTTCCCTGGCCTACCGACTTAGATTGCTAGATGTGCACCCAGGTTCTTCAGTGGGGATATGTCTGGAGCGGAGTAAATGGAGCGTTGTCGCCATTCTGGCCGTCCTGCGCGCCGGGGGTACGTGCATTCTCCTGGACTTGCATAATCCGCGCCAGAGAATCCACGATATCCTCAAAGAAACTTCCGTTCAAGTCGTGATTAATAGTCAGACAACGGCGGAATTAACAAGCGATCTCACGCCAACCGAGCTTCGTCTCGATCCAGCAATCACAGATATCCTGCCCCAGACGCCATACCTGCCTGATTCACCGGTCCCTCCTAGTACACCCGCCTTTATTCTTTTCACCTCCGGCAGCACCGGTCGTCCCAAAGGCATCGTCATGCCGCACAGCACCTTATCCTCCAGTATTAGGTACCATAGTGCACCGATGAATGTCGGAGCTGATTCGCGGGTGCTCCATTTTTCCTCGTACGCGTTCGATGTCAGTATATACGAGATCTTCACTACACTGGCGGCGGGCGCAACCCTCTGCATTCCGTCAGAATTCGAACGTAAAAACACGCTTGCCGAGGCGATATGCCGATTCCAGGTCAACTGGGCGTTTCTCACTCCGTCAGCTGTGCAGACTTTGCAACCCTGGGAAGTCCCATGCCTGTCGACCTTGGTCCTGGGAGGGGAAGCCATCACCCGCGAAAATGTCGACGTTTGGGCCCCTGGTCGCACGCTGATCAACGGATACGGTCCCGCAGAAGCTACCATCTGCGGTGTTGGGACCATTCCACCGACGGGGTGGAAGCAGGGGTTGATTGGGTCAATTGTCGGTGGTGTCGGCTGGGTGACAATGCCCACTGACACGTCACGATTAGCTGCCATTGGGGCCATCGGAGAGCTGCTGCTAGAAGGACCATTTCTGGCTGCAGGATACTTCAACCTCCCGGATGTCACGGCCGATTCATTTATAGAGTCCCCGGCATGGAGACAGAGAATGCCCCTGGGTCCATCATCGGGTCTCTATCGGACGGGAGATCTCGTGCAGTACCAAGATGATGGAACCATTCGATACATGGGCCGTCAGGGCACACGCTTGAAGTTGCACGGCCAAATGATCGACCTGGGAGAAGTAGAAACCAACACGCTCCGTGAGTTCCCTGCAGCCAACAGAGTAGCTGTCGAGATACTCTCTTTGGATGTTGGCGGCAACTTGGCAGCAACACTGGTCGCTTATATAAAATTCGACTCTAACGACCCCAAAGAGCGCGACGCCAATGGTATTTTAGACTCGGTCTGTCCGGAATTTCGCCACAATACGACTGAGGCGCAGAAACGCCTCCGAGGGCTCCTTCCATCGTACATGGTCCCGTCCATGTTCATCCCAGTCCAGGTGATGCCGCAGACCGTGACGGGGAAACTTGACCGTCGCAGCCTACGATCAGCTGTCTACTCGCTCTCCCCCGAGGAGCTCCAGAATTACCGGGCAGCGCCGCTAGCGAAAACCTCAGTCTCCAGCGATGCTGAGCGACTACTGCAAGCCATGTGGGCTGATCTCCTGGGCACGGCCAAGGAATCTATTGGGGCAGAAGACAACTTCCTGGTCATTGGTGGTGATTCGATATTCGCCATGCGCATGGTAGCCGCGGCTCGACGTGCCGGGTTCGGCTTCACCGTGGCGGACGTCCTGAGCCCGAACAGCTCATTGTCATCCCTTGCACTGTCCTTACAGGAAGTCGGGCCCGGTCAAGAGAAACCTGTTTTGTCTGCTCCAGCTCAGCCATCTATGCTCACATCAATGGATTTCCAGCAGCATCTCAGCTCCCTGCAACAGCAAGGAATACTGCCCTTGGTAGGAAACGTGACAAGCGCGTGGCCAGCTACGGAGGCACAATCAACACTCGTCTCGAGGTATCCATGGTTCCATTTCCAGTTTCCATTCCACGGCGAACTCAATGAAGATCAACTGCGAGATGCTTGTCGGGCACTTGTCCATGCTCACAGTGTGTTGCGGGTTGTCTTTACTAAATATCGTGAAGAGCTCTTCCAATTAACCCTAGCCGAAGATATGAATCTCCCTCTGCAGGTAATAACGACCGATAACTCGTTAGACTCCTTTTGTGAATCTCTTTGCCATTCGGAGCAAGCTGTTTCGGTTCCTTCAGCAGGAGTCGCGACCCGTTTTACCCTGGTCTCCAATCCCACGCACACAGACCAGCGACTCATCATTCGTCTGGCCCACGCCCAGTATGATGCCAATTCCATTCCTATTCTGGTTCACGATCTCGAATCAGTATACAATGAGGAAAAGAAGATCGCAGATACCTCTTTCGACTGGTACCTTGAACAACGGGCGCGGCATTCAGATCAAGAGCAGCACCGGGCCTTCTGGCAGGAGTATCTAGTGGGCTCTTCCCTTGCCTCATCTCCCCTCGATCTCACGTCGGCCACCCAGCTGGTCACAGGAACCTGTGATCTCGCTTTACCAGCAGGGCTCCCACCTTATGTCACCCTGCCCACCGTCGTGAAAGCTGCTGCCGCTCTAGTCCTCGCTCGACACCTCCACCGACCTGATATCGTCGTCGGCCAGACCGTCGATGGGCGGAGTCTTCCATTCCCCGACATCGACCGAGTTGTAGGCGCCTGTAACAACTATATCCCGTTCCGGGTACAGCCTCGTGCGTCCATGACCGCCCGAGACTACCTCCTCCATGCTCAAACCCAGCATGCCCGGAGCCTGGGTTCCGAGTCTGTAGATCTGCGAACGATCGTCTCGAACTGCACAGATTGGCCGTCTTCCACGGAATTCGGGTACATCGTGCAGCATCAGACAGCTAATCACGGCCTAACGTTGACACTAGGGTGCAAGTCCGCGTCTCTCAAGCTGGTGGGTGGGCTGTTGCCCGCATCAGAGGTGTGGATTTGCTCTACCGATACTCCATCCGGGGTGAGAATTGATATTCACTCCTCGACGCAGAGAATGAGTCTCGACCGGGCCACATCTATGGCGTGTGAAGTTTGCGCAATGATTAATGATCTTCTGACAAGGTTGGATCGATGTCTGTATGATATTGAAGGGATCACATTCCTAAGCTAGATAGTATTTAGTCAATGACCTATAATTTAGGAGCGCGTTTGTCTTTGCTATATTATTTGCAGGTGTAGTGAAGCATCAATATAGAAATAGCCCCTTTAATATTCTCTCTGATCCTGGCAGTTCACCTTTTTCCTTCTCATTCCCATGTCGCGGCTCGAGGTTTTTCTTATTCTCAGCCAGTGCCTGAGCTGCCAGCGCCACATAAGAACTTGGGTGTAAGAACTTAGCACCGCAATCGCTCTACCGTTGCTCACAATCCGCAGTAGTAGTCTACCACGCAAATTAGGATGGTGGCTAAGGCGCTCTATATGCTCAGCTCAGAGCTGTGGATCACCCCCTTCCCCAGTACCCCAGTGCCAGGGTTTCTTTTATTCAAATAGTTAATAGATGCTGCCTTGTTGGCGCGCAACCAAAGGCTTGTCCTTGAGATTATGTAATAATTAGGTCACGGGACCGGAGTTCATCCGGATTATGTAATTATCAAGTGAGAAGAGAAGCGACTTTTACGATTAGGTAATACTTATGGGCGTCCTCAATGAGCAAAAAGCGGCAAGGGAAAGAAAGCCAGTGTCTGTTTGTTAGTTTGTTAGTAACACGCTACTACCATAACTATACAACTTCGAACACGCCCCGAATATGCAGCCAATAGATATTTCCAACTGCTCATTGTAATATCTGCATGAATTTAATTATTTGGCATTCATCTTGCGAGGGTTCTCTAAATGCAGCGTAGCACTAACAATGACACCGGCCCAATAAGGAAGGTGGACGGCAAGCATACTCTTATTACTACAATTTGTTTGTTTAGATAGCATCCATGGATCCATGGTTATATACAGATGTTGTTAGCGAGCGAATGATAGCCATAGGATATATTCATTGCATTGCATGGAAATTCCCTTTGGGTTTCAGCCTCTTGATAACCGGTCCAGCGTAGTCCAGCGTAGTCCAGCGTACCATGTATAGCCCCTCGCACTTTAAAGAAGGTTTTAATTCTTTTTCTAATACCTTCAATTTGGACAAATATCTCTCTAATAAGATTTTAGTCTGGCGGTTAGGGCGGACAATAGACAAATCTCACACCTGCTTCGTAATAGCGTGTTAATCGAACGAATCGTCTTAAATTTCGCTAGGTTCGTCTATTCCCATGTTCCTGGGGTCTTCATTGGGCTGACAAGGGTATCATCTTTAGAATGCGAGGTCTAGCCATTCATAAATCGGGCTAGATCTACATGATAATAGTAAATGTAGGATGAATGCCTTATGTATTCCATTCGGAGCCTTGGCCTTGTACTGTATTTCTTCCTCTATTGGTTGTGAAACTCGTGAAATCACCAGTTTTAGCCGGCAAAAAAGACAGAGAGATGACTTGGTCATCAGATACGAAGACCTTCGGAGTGCATCAAAAGCAATTACGATCTCTTATTATCCCTCAATGTATGCAGTAAGGGGGATATGGCACGATCTCTGTGCCCGATGAGGAATCCCTGACAAAGCGACAATTCCAGTCTTTTACAATATTGTACAGTGAAGTACCAAGGGAGTTGAGACTGTTCTGGCTATTGTCGATCACGGGTTCGGAAGTATGAAGTGTGTGTTTTGTTATACTACATGTGTTCTGTACATTAGTAGATACATATATGTACCTAGGAGTATGCCCGACTTGGGGAATCTGTAAGCAGATATCATTAGGTTGATATAGATATAGATATATAAGACATAAGACGTAAGATATAAGACAGATATATAGATCTATAAAGATTCACATGTTAATACTGTTTAATGTGGACAATACTGTCACAGTGTTAAAACAGTTTTCGCCACTTCCTTATCGGTGCGTGGTAGTACCAACCTCCCCGTAACTCTCGTCTGGACTTCTTTCCTGATCTAATCCCATCGGGTAAAATTAAAGGATTCTCTTTCTGTTTACGTCCACCAATTTGATACTTTCTTCTGTTTTTTTTCTTCTGCTTTTATCAATTCAATTTCGGCTGTAAATCGACTGGGTGATCATCGCGGGCAGTCTGTCTCACATTTTCCGAAGTGGCATTACCTGCGCCCGTTGCGCCCCTTGTCAACAACAGCCCCGCGAATCCTCTCCCACCAACAACCCACCTCGACCTGGCGCAAGCGCACCCTTGAATTTTGAGCCAGCCTTGCTCTTTGTCCCTCGTCAGACCTGCCATCATGGATGGGGACGAGCTGATCGCCTCGGTCTTCCGCAAGATCGAGCGGGAGAAGGCCCTCATCACCGCTGCCAGTAACATGCGGCAGTCGACCGACAATCCCCTCGTGCAACAGAGAGTCGACGCCAACATCCGCGATGGCCGCAAGAATATCGCTTACCTGGAGGAGAAAATGAGAGAATTACAAATCCGTCAGATGAACCAGGAAGGTGGTTCGCCTGGTCAGCGTGGAGGCCCGGCCCTCTACCCCAAAGACCACCCCGGATACCCTGGCGAGCAAGGTGATGGTCACTACCCTCAGGGTGGCTCCGGCTCCATGCCTTCCGGTGCCCCATTCGCCGACCCCCGACCTTATGCTCCGATCCCGAAGGCGAGGCCCAATTACACGAAGCTAGGTACGTCCTTGGATGCCGCTCCTGCCAAACCCTTCCAAAAAAAAAAAAAATACAGGAATGCTGCGCTGAGTTTAAATCGCTTGGAATGCTAATATGAATGGCTATGTCTCAGATCTGATCAAGTATGACACTCCGTACCTCGGGCCGAAGATCCAACTCATGCTGTCTCAACTGGAGTTCAAGCTGAGTGTGGAAATGCAATATAAAGCCGGTATCGAAAAGATGGTCCGCTTGTACCAGGATGAGGGCGATCGGAAGAGCCGAGCTGACGCCGAGGGTCGTCGCATTGAGAGTAACCAAAAGATTCAGCTTCTAAAGCAGGCGCTGAAGCGATACGAAGATCTTCATGTTGATATCGAATCCGCCGATGCACCAGACGGTATGAAAAACATGGCAATTCGTCTGCGAGCATAATGCGACATGGGTACTAACTAATATGCAGATGAGAGTCTTAGTACTCCGAACATGCGCAAGCCGCTGACAGGTCTACTGACAATGCGCATCCATGCGGTTAAGGATGTGGACCATGCAGCTAGTTCACGATTCTCTCGAGGACCAGAGACATACATTGTCGTCAAAGTCGAGGACACGATCAAAGCGAGAACCAAGGCCACCCGAAACGATAAATGGTTGGACGAAAGCTTTTCCATGGATATCGATAAGGCAAACGAGATCGAATTGACTGTTTATGACAAGTCGGGAGATCGCCCAGTACCAATCGGTATGCTTTGGGTGCGCATTTCGGACATCGCGGAGGAGATGCGTCGCAAGAAGATTGAGACGGAGCTCAACGCATCTGGCTGGGTATCCGCAGACAAGATGGGTGATGGTGGATCCCCCCGACATGATCAAGCCGGTTCTCCTATGGGCTCTTCACATGGCCCTAGCCCCGGAGGACGCCCGGGCACCTCGGGGCATGGTGCACATGGACACCACGGTGGCGAGAGCTCAAATGCTCCCCCGAGTGTGACGATCGATTCATGGTTTGCCCTAGAACCGGTTGGCCGGGTTCAGGTTCAAATGAGCTTCGGTAAGACTAACTTGCATTGGCCTCAAAAGAAGCATCATGTGCTAACTGGATATAGCCAAGCAATTGAAGGACCGCCGTCCCTTTGACATTGGTCTCAACCGTCAAGGTGCCGTTCGCCAAAAGAAGGAGGAGGTTCACGAGAAGCAGGGCCACAAGTTCGTCACCCAGCAGTTTTACAACATTATGCGCTGTGCACTGTGTGGAGAATTCCTCAAGTATGCTGCCGGCATGCAATGTGCGGATTGCAAGTACACCTGCCACCGCAAGTGTTACCCCAAGGTTGTCACCAAGTGTATCAGCAAAGCCAACTACGAGACCGATCCGGACGAGGAGAAGATCAACCATCGCATTCCTCACCGATTCGAAGGCTTTTCCAACATCTCCGCGAACTGGTGCTGCCACTGCGGCTATCTGCTTCCGTTTGGACGCAAAAATGCCAAGCGCTGCTCTGGTAGGCACATTACTGACACCGGAACTCTTTATAGTCCATACTGACCTCTTTTATAGAATGTAGTCTTACGTGTCACGCTCAGTGCACTCACCTTGTGCCCGATTTCTGTGGAATGACGATGGAAGCCGCCAACCAAATTCTCGAGACATTGATTCGCACCAAACATCACAACAAATCTGCCTCTGTTAGTTCTGGCCTCAGCAACCGTACCCTTCGAGCAGGCGGTCCGCCCCAGCCCGCTCAAGACAACGCTGCCCTCTCCTACCCCCAGAAGCCGATGGAAGGACCCTACGGGGTTATTCCTAGACAACCCTCCGCAGAAGCGGTAAGCGCTGCCACTAACTCCTTCATGACTCCACAGTCACCAACTGCTGTTGCACAGGCCGCACAGCGCCAACAGATGCCACCGAAATCGCCCACAGGGCCTTCCGCCGCCGCCGCCGCTGCCGCCGCTGCCGCCGGGCTACGTAGCCCCCAGCAACCCCCAGGTATGCAATTTCTAATCATGTGTTAAAGAGAGACTCTTGATACTAATCAAATCTTAGCCGAGATGGGCCGTCCCATGCCGCCACCTCAGGCACCTCCCCAGCCTCAACACGCCCATTATGACCCATCCGCTTATGCCAATTTCCCGCAGCAGGCTCCACCCCAGGCTATGCAAAAGGTGCAGCCTGCAGCTTATCCGATGGCACCACCTCCGCAGCCCATTCAGCAACAGATTCCCCAACAACAGCAAGTTGCATCTCCTACCAAGGAGGACGCTGGAGGGCAGGCAAAGGCTCGCATTGGATTGGATCACTTCAATTTCCTTGCTGTTCTTGGAAAAGGTAATTTCGGAAAGGTCATGTTGGCTGAAACAAAGAGCTCCCGCAAGTTGTATGCCATCAAGGTGCTGAAGAAGGAATTCATTATCGAGAACGATGAAGTGGAGAGCACCAAGTCCGAGAAGCGTGTTTTCCTGATCGCAAACAAGGAACGTCACCCATTCCTTCTCAACTTGCACGCTTGTTTCCAAACTGAAACTCGTGTCTATTTCGTCATGGAGTATATCAGCGGTGGTGATCTCATGCTGCACATTCAGCGTGGCCAATTCGGCCTCAAGAGAGCACAGTAAGTCCTATGCTTAAGTCTTTGCCCTGTTTTGGCAATTGGAAATGCTCATGCTCACAAATTTTAGATTCTATGCCGCCGAGGTTTGCTTGGCACTCAAGTACTTCCACGAGAACGGTGTCATCTACCGTGATTTGAAGCTCGATAACATTTTGCTGACCATGGATGGTCACATCAAAATTGCTGATTATGGTCTTTGCAAGGAGAATATGTGGTATGGTGGCACAACAAGCACGTTCTGTGGTACTCCTGAATTCATGGGCCCAGAAGTAAGTGGGATCAAGTCTGATTGTGTGTTTTTGAATTACCGATGAGCTAACTTTTGTCATAGATTTTGCTGGACAAGAAGTATGGGCGGGCTGTGGATTGGTGGGCATTCGGTGTTCTCATCTACCAGATGCTTCTGCAACAGTCTCCGTTCCGTGGTGAAGATGAGGATGAAATCTACGATGCCATTCTTGCCGACGAGCCTCTCTACCCCATTCATATGCCTCGCGACTCCGTATCAATTCTCCAGAAGCTGTTGACTCGTGAGCCCGAGTTGCGTCTGGGCTCCGGTCCCACAGATGCTCAAGAAGTGATGTCTCATGCCTTCTTCCGCAACATCAACTGGGATGACATCTACCACAAGCGGGTCCCCCCGCCATTCATCCCCACAATCAGCAGTCCTACCGATACCAGCAACTTTGACCAGGAGTTCACCAGTGTAACTCCAGTCCTGACGCCTGTGCAATCTGGTAAGATCTTCTTGGCTGTTTTTTGTGCGTGCGTGCTGGAAGATGAACTGTAACTAACCGATGCTTTTTTTTTATTTAGTGCTCTCGCAAGCCATGCAGGAAGAATTCCGTGGATTCTCCTACACTGCTGACTTTGCTTGATTCCACCGATGTGTAATCGGGATGATCATCGCTTGCTTGGACACCTGTCACGAGTTGTTGACGAGGGTGTCAATTCGGTTCATAGGGAGTTTAATGCCGACACGTCCGGTTTCTTCAGGGCGCCGCGGGTCTCCCGCCCTTTCCAGCACTTCTTGCCCTTCAAATTGCTTCAACATACCCAAGCGCAGTTTCGTTTTAAGTGCCGGCGTGGACCGGACCTCACTGACATGCTTCGACCGCCGGATACCCTGGTTAATGAAACCTCCAGGTTGCTTTTGCTTTCTCGATTCCTTTGTGTGCTTATCTAAATTGCTTGCTCTATTTTTTTCCCCTTTGGGTTGTTTTTTTTTTCTGTCTAAGTTTTCCTTCCGACTGGTCGGGTTTATGACTCTATTCTATGTCGGGCATTTGATGTCCAAAAAAGGGGAGGGGACGGGTTCCTATATGGGAATTGCGTGAAGTGGTTCCAGGTTGATGAGAGTTTGATGAGAAATGACGAAGTTTGAAGATCCATGAAGATAGCGTAAGTCCCTTCAGGGACTCGTGCGCGTCATGTCCAGTGTTATGTTCTAGCGGTTCGTGATATGGAGAGGAGATACAAATACGAACTAATATATCCCATCCGTCTATTTTGTAGCTTGGATCATGGTGCTATAGACACATTTACACATGCCCCATGCGTGTATATCACATTCCGGATGCGACTGCCCTCTTCCCTTCCAAGTCGAGGGCTCGAGTACCTCGTTCCTCCCCAAATAGGAAGCTCGTACCTTCCTCTCTCGTGTCCGTCTCTTGCGAAAGGACGTACACGTTTCTTTTGTTTACCTTTGTCCTCTCTGCTATTCTCTTCCCTTCTTTTCCAATTTACCATATCTTTTTGACTCTGTCCAGCCTCTTTTCTTTGTTCCAGAAATAGATCAAGCTACCGAGGTCTATGTCAAAGATGCTGCCAAAAACTGAACGCCTGTTTCGTCGGGGCGTTCCGGCCTTGAGTAATACTACCGAGACCGTGCCTTTGGGCAACAAAGAGAACCTGCCCTCGGGAAACAAAGAACACACCCCTCAGTCCACCCCAAAGGTGGGCCAACCGCCGTTGAGCCCCCGTTCCATCGAGAGATGGCTTGAGAACGTGACTCCCCCTGTTTATGGGTCTCCCATCAACAGGGTGCGACTCAAAGTCGACAATATCGACATCCACATCGACATCTCCAAAATCTAGGAATCAGGTCCCCTCCAGCCTAGTTCAACGAGACTTGGGACAACGAGATCCCGAGATCCGACGTTTCCTGTGTGAGGGCGAAGCTCCCACGACACCCACTCACGCCCTTCTCCCTCTCCTACTACCCCGGTCCTGTCATAACCGGTGGTTGCAGCTCCTGCCTTCAATCATCCCGAAAAGCCGGCAAACTCCTCATCGCTGAACACCATGTCTGACACGGTTGTTCAGCTCAGAGAACAAGGTCAGATTGTAAGTTTCTTTTTTCTTCATCATAGCTTATCATATCACTTTGACCTTAGTTATCTCTTTCTTACCAGTCCTCTGCTCACTTACATTTCACTGACTTCCATCCCAGGTGACCACAGCCCAAAAACGGGCTTTCTTCCCTAATAACACGGAGCCTGAGCACCTGGTTAAGCGAGTTAAACTCGAGCCAGAGCACTCTGCGACAGAGCGCAAGCGGTCCGTGGACACCAACGTCAGTGAGGATAACAAATGGGACTCCGACCCACCCACCTCGCCTGAATACAAGATTAGCGATGGGGATGACAGTGATACCAGCGACTCTCCTTCCTCACCGTGCGCGAAGCGAGCGAAGAGAGCTGCTCTACATCCCTCGGCCAAGGACGACCGCTCGCTTAATTCCAAGGTCAGGAAGAAGAGGAAGAAGAAGACAGCAGATTCGGATTGGTCAATGTCCGAGTCAAGTGACCTTGACTACGAGAGTGAGGAAGAATACGTCATTCGGGCAGGAGAGCAGGATGACGAGCTGCTCAATAATAAGCTGACCCGAGAAAGGGCAAAGCGCCTACTTGATGCAGTGGAACTCCCCCAAGGCCACGACCTGTCACCAGACGAACAGCGGACGGCCCATCAACTTCTTACTCGTGGCTGCATGCCAACCATCCACAGACACTGGGAGAAAGATTTCTCCACCCTTCCAGAGTCACTGTTCTTTTCTGGTAAAGATGATGAAACTCAACGTAACGAATCCCACTTTGTCCTTGAAAACGATAAATGTTCAGAGTTTTACGCCATCCGTGCATTCCAAGAGATTTTAAAGATATGTGGCAATGTGAGGGACTACTGCAATATCCTTGACATCGGTCCTGGAATCTACATCAAGAGGTCGATAGAGAAATATCTGCGCTGGGCATTGAGCGATGCTGGAGTCAGAGTCCAGCCGGACACACCCCCTGTGCATACCATCTATTGCCAAAATCAGGACGAAGAGCCCAAAGAAGCCTTTAGCAAAGTTGCGAGGGCATTGGAGAAGCTATCAAATACCTGGCAGAGCCTACTTGCTACACCCGATGATAACGAAGCAGCCTGGCCGGCATTGATGGGGCTCGTTCTCTGTGGACCTGTTCTTTCTGTTATTTCTCTGGACACCAATCCCCATCCCCAAACCCTAACACAAGGAATCAAGTTCCTTGGTCACTTCGACCTTTCAGATTTTGATAATGATGTCTGGAATACCCTAGCTGTCGCAATTATCGTTATGCACATCAAAAGGACCGTGACAAAACTCGCGAAAGCTTACGATCACAAGTTTGTGGCATCAATCTTTGATGGCCCTGCCATGAGTTCCCCGGATCCTGATCGTTAATTTCCGTCGTGTTGCCCAAGATCCATGAGATTCTCTGGCTGCAATCATTCTTATCCATGCCACAAAGAACTTTACAAATCTATATCATATACAGGGAACCAATATCCCCTGGTTTTCCATGATTCACCCGCGGGTGAGAGACTGACTGCAATCAGACATGATACTCCCTGCCATAATTATGTCAAGTTTGATATGCATTTTTTTCTTTTATGGTACGATTTTCCGGGGAATTTTTGAACCCTTACAATTTAGCGCGTGAACGTTGAGCCACGTACAAGTAGTTTACTGGATGATATGCTACAACTTTTTCCTATGAAGCAATAATAGTCGCTTATGCGACCTTGTGACGTCTTTTTGGTAGTCTTTTAAGTCTTTTTCAATGTCTTTTCCTCAAAGATATATTTCCCCTTATCCATGTTGTAGCTAGAATATAGGAAGTGAAAACGGCTTAAAATATGCAAATCGGTTTTTCTACGTATAGGTAACCTTTGATGTAGATGATAGGTTCACGCCAAGTACGAATGCCCATGTATATCAGTGGAGTTCAGTTCATACGTGAAGCAACTATTGCCAATGGAAGTGTCGCGACCAATGCAAGGATTGATTTGTTCATCACATCTCCACTTTTGCTGAATACATGTTTCCCCCATTTTTCAATGATCTTTGAACCATCTTTGTCATTGTATTTCAATGAACTCAATCTAAAAAGAAAATAGAGTGTGTTGGGAATGCGGAGAGCTCCCATTGCCCTAGAAAAGAAAAGAAAAGAAAAAAATCCCACGATGATCTCCGAAGACCAGGCCACAGAGTCTTCCCCATTGTTACGCGACATCGACCCAGAAGCAGCGAGCAATTCCAAGAAGTTAGGATGGCGACAAGAATTAGCAATCATCTCGCGATACTCGGCCCCTCTCATGATATCGCTCCTACTCCAACATGCATTGACCGGTTCTAGCATCTTCATGGTGGGCCACCTGGGGAAACGCGAAATCGGGGCCGTGAGCTTGGCCAACATGACAGCCCAGATCACTGGATATTTCGTCTTCCAAGGACTAGCAACATGTTTGGATACTTTATGTCCTCAAGCATATGGTTCAGGGAATCTGACCCTAGTCGGGCTTCACGTTCAACGTCTGACGCTTTTCATGCTCGTCCTCACAATCCCAATTGGAGCTATATGGTGGAATGCGGATCAAATCTTTCTTCTCATTTTACCATCTGAATCGCGGGAGACGGCTCTTCTCGCAGGGTTGTATCTGAAAATTGCCATCGCGGGCGCTCCCGGCTATGCTTGCTTTGAGTCCGGAAAGCGATTTTTCCAGGCGCAGGGGTTGTTCAGTGCTAGTCTGGTAGTTCTGGTAATATGTTCTACATTGAATATTTTCATGGGCTGGTTATTTGTTTGGGTATGTTATGCAACCTCAGAACTCCCCCGAACCATTCACTGATATTCTCTTTCCCAGAGACTGCAATGGGGCTTCGTCGGTGCGCCTATCGCCGTTGCAGTCGCAAACAGTCTTTTGCCCGTCTTTCTGGCATTCTATGTCATCTTCATCAAGGGCTCTGAATGCTGGCACCCTATTTCCGCCGAGGTGTGGCGCGGCTGGGGTCCAATGTTGCAGCTTGCCATCCCGAGTTGGCTAATGATCGAAGCCGAGGTCCTCGCATGGGAAATCATGACACTCATTTCGTCCCGTCTAGGTGCGACCGAGCTCGCAGCCCAGGCTGCTATTTCGACACTTTCAGACTTTGCATTCCAGATTTCGTTTTCCATTGCTGTTGCGGGTGGTACACACATCGCCTATCTGATTGGAGCGGGCTTTCTCCAGCGTGCCGCAACAGCAGCCAGGGTTATGGTTATTGCTGCCTTCGGTGCTGGTATATCAAATATGCTCGTGATTCTTGCTCTTCGGAGTGTCATCCCTGGCTTATTTAGTGATATCGGCGAGGTCTGGCATTACATCTTCTTCCTGCTTCCATTGGGTGCTATACTTCAAATTCCAGACGCCGTGGCTACTTCCCTCAATAGCTTGCTGCGAGCTGTGGGACGGCCGGATCTGGGTAGCTATGTTCAGCTCTCAATCTACTACCTCGTGGGATTGCCTGTGGGCATTGCTTTGGCGTTTGGCCTGCACTGGAGCATTTTCGGACTATGGTGTGGAATCCTTATCGGCCAGTCGATTATTGTGTCGATCGAGGGTTTCTATTTCTGGAAAATGGTGGACTGGGCGAAGGCATCCCGAGAAGCGGTAGAGCGAGTGTGACCATGAAAGCAGCTTCTCAAGGTTGAGCGACGGGTGGAACAGCAGAGGCCACAAAATATATCATATCATGCACGACGAATATAAAATACATTTTTTTCCCCTTTATTGTCTGCTTGTACATAGTAGACCTACAAAGGAACTAATATGGGTTAAGAGCATCAGAAATATATCCAAGAAAACATCCAGTGAACGAAATAGTGAACCTTTATATACCTAGGCGTCACATGACCGGTCCCGCTGTTGACGCTATTCCCAACACTGTAATCTTCAAGACGCACTGCATCACCCATTCATTCCACCATGGATGCCGCTGAGGATAAAGACGTGAAGCTTCAACGGGCCTCTGGGGATTTGGTGTCCGAGTTTTCCGCAAAGCTGCCCTCGCTATTGTGGAGAGCCCAAACTGGCACTCCCCTCCGCACCCCACGTAAATGGGCGCAGGTCACCAAAACAGAGAAGCTTGTCAGCCTTGTAAGACCGCACCGCATAGTTCTCTATCTTGATTATATTTCCGTTCTTATTTACTAATGGTAACCACAGCTTGAACCCTTCCAAGAGTGGCCTCAACTTTTAGATCCACATTTGCAGACATTGCTGCCTCCTTTAGTGGACGCTTTTCTAGCATATTTGATCAAGCATCGCACCCAGTATGGCTCTGTGTCGACGAAGTCATCCCAGGGAGGAAATCATTATCCCCTACCAAGAGCCATCTGCAGGTTGCTTTACACTTTCTGCAAAGTCCGTGGCGTCAAAGTGATTAGCAGGTTCTTAAACAACGAGCCGAAATATCTTGATTCAATGCTTCGGGCCTTCATCGAATGGGATGCGGTTCGGCCATCCACTTCCGAAGAACTGGTTGGATCTGAAACTCAGCGACTCATATGGGAAGAGCGCTATGTGATGCTGGTCTGGCTTTCACATCTTCTGCTTGCACCGTTTGATTTGTCTTCTTTATCGTCCGATAACATTCCGGTACCCTACGACAATCTGCAACAATTGGCTTGGTTACCATCTGAGACTCCTATGATTGGTAGGTCCCTTCTTTCCTTGTCATTGCACTATGTTAGTGCGTCTGGCAAAGAACGCGAGGCAGCAACAGCGCTTTTGGCACGATTGTCTTTGCGTGGAGACATGCAAGCTCTCGGCATGCTTGCGGGTCTGACGAAGTGGGCATTTGCTACAATCCAGCCGACGGAGAGCGTCGAATCGCCCTCTGTCTATGCTTGTATTGGGGTCCTCACATTCATTGCTCGTTTAGGCGCATCAGGCCAGGTCGAGGACTTTGCTCCCTTGATCAATTATGTCTTCCAGCAGACTCTCGGTGTATTTCAAGGGAAATCTTCAACATCTACGACAATCCAATCTTCGGCGTTGGCAAGAAAGATTGTTGTCAAAATCCTTCGCAACATTACAGTCATGGCCTTATCTTTGAGTGAGCGAGGTGACGCCCGCATCACAGATGATCAGTTACCAACCATATTGGAAGATTCAATCGATCATTTCTTGGTTTCTTTGGCCGACAAAGATACACCCGTGCGATTTGCCGCGAGTAAAGCACTCAGCATTATCACATTGAAATTAGATCCAGAAATGGGGATGGAGGTCATCGAAGCAGTCATTGGCTCGCTGGGAGAGAATATCCTCTTCGAAAAAGAAGATGGCTCCCTCGTGACGCCATTTGAAGCAAGGAAGATTGGCACACACACCCTTAAGCGTAATCTCAGTGCAGTCGATGCCCAGCGATGGCAAGGATTAATCCTGACACTGTCACATTTACTTTTCCGCCGTGCACCTCCTATTAACCAACTCCCTGAGATTCTTCAGTCACTTGTCTCTGGTTTGGGCTTCGAACAAAGGTCTTCTACCGGTGGCTCTGTGGGAACTGGTGTCCGAGATGCAGCGTGCTTCGGTATCTGGGCCATGTCTCGAAAGTACACAACACGAGAACTCCTGGCGTTGCAGCCCCAGGTAGTGACGTCCCAATCTGGCCAGAAAGAGGTCGATGTTCTGCAAAAGCTGGCAGTGGAACTCATCTGTGCTGCCTGTATCGATCCATCTGGAAACATCCGACGCGGGTCGTCTGCTGCGCTGCAAGAATTGATTGGTCGTCACCCCAATATCATTGCGCAGGGTATTCCCCTCGTGCAGGTTGTGGATTATCATGCCGTTGCGCGGCGTTCTCGTGCACTGATTGATGTTGCTAAAGCAACAGCCTCTCTGGATCAGATTTACTGGAGTCCACTTCTGGATGCTTTGATGGGTTGGAGAGGTATTGGTTCTCCGGATGCCGAGTCCAGAAGACATGCGGCTAAGGCGATTGGAACTTTGAGTACGCAGGAGCTATTCAAAACTATGCACCTAGTCCTAGAAAAATTGCTGCAAATGTTCTCCAGCATCTCTCGGAATGATGTGGAATCACGACATGGCTGTCTGTTGTCCATTGCTGCCACAGTCGATGCTTTTACCTCCCAATGGGAAGCATCTGCGGAGAAGAGAGATACCCCGGAAGCCAAGGCTGTATCCTCTCAAGTTGCCAATATCTGGGATATCTTTGGTTCTGCCTCAAGCCCTACCGATGATGACTTAACTTTCCAGACTTCACGCCCCGAGTTGACGGCAGAGGCATCATCTTACTTAATCTCCTCGCTCTCTCGGTCTACCATCACAACAGGCCTGGCTCAACCTTTAGAACCACTTTTGAACCGAGCACTCCAAATTCTGTCCCTCTGTGTTTCTCGAAGTGATGATATCTCGATTGAAACATCTTCGATTGCCTTGGCGCAGCTGTTTCCTCTACTATTGCCTTCAAAGCAGGAAGAAACGGTGCGTATTTGGTTCTCTCATCTCCATACTTCATGGAGATTACCATCAGGCCGTGGTCAAATTCTAGCACTTGGTACAGTGTTCAAGCAACTCAAAACACGAAGTGACGTCCAAGAAAATATCGTCACCGAGATTCTTCGTTACACCGGGAAGGAAGAGCTCATCGAGAAACGAGTTGCTGCTGTGAAATGCTTGGCTACCAGTATATTGCCATACATGGGTATGTTGAATATCTCTTCTTTACTGGCTGGTACAAACATGGGCTAACAAGTTCTTAGCTACCACCGACACAATTGCGACCAACTTCGTTGAATTCTTGAATGATTATACCACTGACAGACGTGGTGATATTGGATCTCTTATTCGAGTCGAGGCAATCCAAGCAGTTGGCATCTTGCTTCAAAGACAACTAGACCCAGCATCACGCTCACCACTTATTCAAAATTTGGTCGGATGTCTTTGCCGTCTTGCATGTGAAAAGCTCGACAAGGTCAGACTACAAGCATGGCTGTCTCTACAGGGCTTCTGGGAAACAGCAGGGGATCTACCTCCACTTGAAAAGTAATCAACTACCAATAAAGCAAAATTTTCTAACGACTGCTAACAAAAACAGGAAATTCGAGCACTTCAGTCATGTTTCGTCACAAGAGTACTTCGCTCAGCTACTTACTCTGCAGGATGTTGACTGGCTTCGCCTTCCTTTGTTACAAGGACTGGCTACCTCTGCTATCTCAGGATCGGAAGGTCTCGTCCGAGCATCTCGCTCAGCTCTGACTCAGTTCCTCAATTCTGAATCCCAACCCCGACGCCAGGAGATATTGATGGTCTTCTTGCAAGATATTTCCACAGTACTGGGTGACAACCTTCACGATGACCGTTTTGCCATTCCTGCTGTCGAGTTTGTTGCGTTTTTAATTGACAGCTACATTCCTGTTATCCCGGAAGGCTCAGATCCAAGGTTTGTGAACTCGTCTTCTACTGCTTATGCATCTACATCATCCACTGACATCTTCTTTCTCTAGTTTCCGAAAATTGTTCACGCTGGTTCAGAAAGCACATTTCAGATCTGCAAATATAGCTCGGCTGGAAGCTGCAGTCAAAGTCTATGCTGCATTATCAAGGATTGACTCGTTACGAGATGGTGTTTTAAAGAAGATGACCGGACTGCTGCTGCATCCTTTCCCAAGGGTACGTTAAACCTCAAACCCATGGATTTACGGTACTGACAGTTGGGGTTCTTTTAGGTCCGATCAAGCGCTGCAGAATACCTGTTTGTTGTGACAGACTCTGAGATTGCCAAGTACGAAGACTGGTCTGCTTCGCCTAAACAGCTAAAGCCCCAGGTGGATAATTTGAAGATCAGTTTTTCCTTGGAGGGTTAGACAGCATCTCCACGGAGATGCCGTAGAACTTAAATATGCATCGAATTAATAACAACAGCTGAGAAAATAAGATACAAAGCATAGAAGGACATGGGGTGTGAAATCTTGGGGCTTTGGTTGTGATGAGTACTTGTGCTTGTAGATGCTGTGCCAGTACTTGTGCTAGTACTTGTTGTGGTAGGCGTGCTCGAGTGATCCTCCGCAAAGAAGTCAAATATGTATTGAGTCGCATTGAACTCAGACTTGCCCAACGGGCACTGTGCAGCATTTCGAGTGAAGTCATCATTGCCAACAGTACTTGGCCAGCAATGGCCATTGTCATTCTCGCGATAATGCTGGACAATGCCTGTCATCCCGTTACAGTCCCAAGAAGCATGCTTCACAACCGGGTCATCAAAGATCGTCTTATTGCTGGTCGGCTGCGAATTTTTCGCACATCCATTTTGAGCCGCCCAGGACTGCAAGACATCAATGACAGGCAGCTTGGAATGCCCATCACCATCGATAGGTGCCGTCGTATCGACTGTCCCATGGAACTCCAGGAAAGGATATCCCGAATCCCGCTTAGCCGGGGCGCAAGGCCCCACGCCCTTAATGTCGTCGGTATCGTACCAGGCGCCGCTGACAGCCGCAAAAGCCGCAAACCGACTTCCAACTGTGGCGTTGCAGGCGATGACGCTGGCGAAAGCACCGCCGTTCGATTTACCGGCCGCGAATACTTTGCTTGTGTCGACGCAGAGGGTTTCTTCCAGGTGCGTGAGCAAATCGTTGGTGAAGTCTAGATCGTTGGGGCGCGACGTCTTTGCAGAAGGGCTGGAGAGCCAGTATCCATTCTGGCTGTTTGGGTAGACGGCGATTCCGTTGGGATTGAATTCCGGGTTTGAAAATTGTGACAGAGATTCTTCCTCTACCATGTCCCGCGACGCACCGTGGAAGGAAAAGTATACTGATGTTGGCGTGTCCTTGTCATAGTTGGCAGGGATGAATAACCTGTATTCCCGGTCTGAGTCTGGGAGGGTGAGGGACTCGCTTTTTCCTGCTTTGGGGTATTTGGAAGGTATGTCTTGGCCGCAACCTGGGGTTTTAGCTATGCTGATGCCCACCAGGGCTGCAAGAGATAGTAATGTGAGGTACATCTAGTTTGGGGTGACCAGGTGGCCAATTAGTTTTGTGAGAAATGCATATTTTGGTTATATTTCGAGGGATTGAGGGGGGAGATTGTCAGGTACACACCCCCTTAGTCTGAAGGACGGAGATCCGCAGGTGTGGAGTGGGGCGAATGTAGCCAAGACTTCACGTGTCCACGGGTGTCCCCTTAATGGGCTTATCTCTTCAACCTTTTTTTTACACCTGAATATCTTTCGAGGTTGATCTCCGGGATCGACACAACCTGACGTTCACGGGTATACGTAACTTCTATTAATAAAATGAGATCAAAAATATCAAAGATCGGCAAAGTATGAAGAGCTGTTTCTTAGTGATTAAATGTAATACTTGGAACCTTCTTATTCTTGAACCTTCTTATTCTTTAATGCATACCTCGTCACCTCGTCACCCGTCCTAAAACTACTAAAACGGGGCGACCTAAATTTAAGGGAGATAAGCCATATGGAGTCCTCCGTAAATGGATACATTTTAAAATCAAGTTAGGTGGAAAAGTAATTATGTGGGCCCTGGAGCAATAGCCATTGAAAGAACAAAAAAGAAAAAGAAAAAAGGAAAAAGTAATGCATCATCCGTGAATCGAACACGGGCCTCGTCGATGGCAACGACGAATTCTACCACTAGACCAATGATGCTAGTTGATATAATAGGGCTCAGTATTATGCGACATATCCTTATTTATTCCTCCCCCCCAATTCATTCCCTCCGCCTCAAGTCAACCGGAAGCTCGACCTCGCTGGTTTCTAGAGCTCCATCAGTCGCAAAAATGGCAGCCGTCTCCCCCGCTGGTATTCCTCCAAATGCGACGTGAGTACTATACTATATCTGCATAATCAATTCCCATGCTAACAAGTCTTTACAGAGTATATGTGCGCCTGTCCCTTCCCCTCTATCATATCACCATTCCGGTCCCGCATTATCATACTGACGGATTCCTGATTAGGTCAAAAATCTAGATGAGCGGATCAAGGTCGAACAGTTGAAGCATGCCCTGGAGGAGATCTTCTCTGAATATGGCACCATTCTAGAGGTCGTCGCAAAGACCAACCTCAAAGCTAAAGGCCAGGCCTTCATCGTCTTTGACAACATCGACTCCGCTACCCGCGCTATTGAGGATATCAATGGCTTCGATCTCTTCGAGAAGCCCATGGTTCTGGACTACGCAAAGACACCCAGTGATGCGACAGTCCAGCGGGAGGGTGGCAGTGACGAGCTGGAGGCTCACAAGCGGAGGCGCTTAGCCGAGAAAGGTACATTGAACAGATACCGGCGCACTATATTCAAAGACTCAATCCATGCTAATAATGTTCATTTTAAAGAGCGCAAACAAGCCCACGAAGCCCTCGAAGCACAGAAGAAACTCAAGCGTCCTGCGGCCGCCGTCGAACCCGCACGCCCAGCCAAGACCACCAAAGGTGCTGGTCTCAAGCCCACCGCTGCCGCTGCGACCGCTGTCGTTCCCGACGAGTACCTCCCACCCAACAAGATTTTGTTCTTGCGGGAACTGCCGGACGACGCAACACAGGAAGGTCTGTCTGCTATCTTTGGCCGGTTCGAAGGATTCCAGGAAGTCAGATTGGTGCCCGGTCGCAAGGGAATTGCTTTTGTCGAATACGAGGCCGAGGTTGGAGCAATCAGCGCCAAGGAGGCTACGTCGGGCATGCCCATGGGCGACCAGGGCAAGGCGATCCGCGTTACCTACCAACGACAGTAGTCGTGGGCGGTTTGTTGCATCCTACAAAATATCCCGGTCTTGTTCTTTCTGGCGTTTGGAAGGTCTTGTCTCAAGTACATGTGTATTAGAAATATGGAGAGCTTTATCACGGTTCTCTTGCTATCGCAATGCGTCAAGATTGCGTATCACATGAAGTGCAATTTCCCAAAGTATATGAAACGAGCCACAGGGCTAAAAACGAGTATGAGCATACAAAGTGGTACATATTGCGGTAAAAGAAGATGTTAACAAAGAAAAGAGTATCGATACGAAACAAAATAACAGTCTAGAAGATGACATCGTTGTCTTCTTGCTCGCCCAGAACATCTGCCGTCTCTTCCTCCGCGAAGATAGCAGTAGCAGTAGCAGCAGGTGCCTTGGGGTTTGCTGCCTGCTCTTCTTCTGCCTTTCGCCGGGCCGCGAGAATCTCAGCGTCCGCGGCAGCAACGTCCCTCTTCTTCTTGCCTGAAACCTTCTTCAGGCGGTAGAATTCCTCTCGGTCGAGCTCGTCGAGCTCGGAGTTGATGTCTTGAAAATGGTCAGCCTGTGCAAGAGACACTCGAAGTAGACGGTACAAACATTTGATAGTGTTCTCAGTCCGAGGAATGATAACATGCTCACTGTTGATTATATGTTAGTATCCCTAACAAGAACTGAATTCGTGAGTCCCGGTCTTACATCGCATTTACTATATCACACGAGTTAGTTACCAGCCGTAAGCCGCCACAATCCATGAGAAAATTGACTTACCTCTTCGGTTGACAACCTTGATCACCTCATCTAGGATCAAGAAGGCAGTCTAGCACAATTGGTAAGCGATATCCCAATCCATTGCACAGATATCATGCATACCTGTAAGCTCGCCAGTTCCACCAATGTCTCCACGGCCCGTGCGTATGTCTCCCGACAGCGTTGGATCTGCTGTCCTCCCTTTCCTAGACCTGTCAGACCAAAGTCATTGACGCCCTCCTCGGTGTAGCTTTCAAATGTAGGCAGAAGAACACCAGAAATGTTCTCTTGCTTGGTTCGCACGCGGAAACGAGCCTGCTTGGCGGACTCCTGGATCTGGTAGCCGATATCTCCGCCTACCGCGTAGCTCACTTCCGCCAGCGAGAAGGCCGCAATCTGCATGACCCGACCCATCTTTTGTTTGGCTTCATCGATGCGACGTGTGATATCTGTCGAAGTATGATTAGCGGCTCGATAAGGTGGGGAACGGGAATGTGTCGCATTTCATACCTCGGAAACGCCTGTTGAATAGAGGGTCAGCATGTACTGTAAGAAGCAAGAAAGGCACAGGAATCATACTTTGTTAGAGCTTCACTCTTTCTCTTTAGTAAACTATGGCCAATTTCCGCCCCCTTCAGCTTGTTCTTCATCAACCCCAATGATTGGCGAGTTGGAAATACTGCCTCTCGGCCCTGAATAGAGGTCAGATAAAGTCAATATGAGAGTTCAGTTCCACAATAAACTCACCACAGCGCCGGACATGATTGCAGCAGAGCAAAGATCACAATATAGTCCTTGTCGTTTAGCTAGAGCAACGCGGCCACATTAGTATGACGCCGATAAAGCTCCACCGCCCACCTGATACAGCTGTATCACGTGCCACAATCAATGTGGGAACCTCATCCGTCAACAGGTTTGGCTTTAAACGCGCACGCCAGCAGCCTCTTGTTTATGCAATTTTCCTTTATGCTGACACGTTGAGCGTGTAATTGGATTTCGCTCGACTGAGTGGCGCAATGCCAGGGACGCTTTTGCCCCCGAGATCCCACCGGCAGCACGCAGAGATGGATCGACCATCTGCGTCCCGGCCGGACCTCTACTTGATCGCAAGTTTTGACCCATTGCACTATTTGAACTTGAGGCTAACTTTCATTTTATCGCTAGACTGATCAAGACATCATCTACGAACAAGATCTGCTTCGCGACGCTAGCAGTGTCAAGCCATGGCTTGCCTATATCGAATTTAAACAGCAAAATGGCACGCTCTATGAGCAAGCATTTGTATGTCTTCACCCACCACAACCGAGTCGCTAAGGATCACCACTAATCTAATGGCTTTTATCAGGTCATGGAGCGCGCATGCAAGCAATTACCGCGTTCCTACAAGCTCTGGAAGATGGTAAGTGACTTTTTTTTAGAAAAAAATTCCCTAGTCTCTGCTTTTACTGACCGTCCTAGTATCTGGAGTTCCGAACAAAACACTTGAAGGGCCGCAATCCCACAGTCTATCGCGCAGAGTACCAGAAAGTCAACGCACTCTTCGAACGAGCCCTGATCCTCCTGAACAAGATGCCGCGCATCTGGGAAATGTACCTCTCCTTCCTGCTCCAGCAGCCCATGGTGACCCAGACTCGACGAACTTTCGACCGTTCCCTTCGTGCTCTGCCGGTCACACAACACAACCGAATCTGGAGACTGTATAAAGGCTTCGCTCGGTCTGCTTCCGGACAGACTGCTATCAAGATCTTTGCTCGGTATATGCAAATTCACCCCGAGAACATCGAGGATTACATAGAACTTCTTGTTGAAAATGGTGAATATACGGAAGCCGTGAAGAAATTCATGGATATCCTCGACGATCCCCGATTCAAGTCCAAACATGGCAAGGGTCCATTCCAGCTATGGTCGGAGATGGTTGATCTCCTAGTCTCCAAGGCCAAGAAGATTGAGACCGGCCCTCAGGTCGGAATTGATGTTGACGCCATTCTACGGAGTGGTATCGAGCGCTTTGCGGACCAGAGGGGCAAGCTGTGGGCCGGGTTGGCCACATACTGGATCACCAAGGGCAACTTCGAGAAGGCACGGGATGTCTTTGAGGAGGGAATCACTACTGTCATGACGGTTCGTGATTTCACTCTCGTCTTCGACTCCTATGTCGAGTTCGAGGAGTCTATCATTGGAAGCTTGATGGAAGGCGCAGCTGTCCGCTCTGACAAGGGCAAAGCCGACGAGGACGCCGACTTTGATCTTGACCTCCGCATGCTGCGCTTCGAGCAGCTGATGGACCGCAGACCATTCTTGGTGAATGATGTACTCCTACGCCAGAACCCTCACAACGTCATCGAATGGGAAAAGAGAGTGGCACTCTGGGGCGATAACAAGGAAGAAGCTGTCCACACCTACACAGATGCCATTGCTGCAATCAACCCCAAGAAAGCGCTTGGAAAATTCTCTGAACTTTGGGTCAATTACGCAAGGCTTTATGAGAACGGCGGAGACTTGGATACTGCAAGAGTCATTTTCGACAAG